CATCAGGGATCTGCCTCCCCTGACCACTTCAGAGGTTGAAGAATTTCTAACTCAGGAATCTAAGGTGCGGCTCAGAAGTGGGAGCTTCGTTTGCTTGTTCAAAAAACGAGAACTATTTGACCAGAGCTGTTTTTCTGTTCTAGAAACATGAAAATGAATTTAATGAGGAAGTGGCCTTGATGGAAATCTACAGATACATTGTGAAGTATTACGATGAGGTAAGCACTCACTGGGCCCAGCACACCGACCGGGCCAGGCCTCTCCCTGCTGGATGCCACTGACGTGGTGTTGCTGCAGTCCCATCTGCATGTGGGTTTGCCAGCCCAGGGCGTGATGCACCCTGATGTCAGCACTGCTTTGCTGCACCACAGAACTCTCCCTGCAGAGAAAGTAGCCAGTGCTTTGTGTTGTAGCGTTTGCACAGCATCCCTTATTGCCTGCCATGGCTCCGTGCTTGCGCTCCTTTTCTCCGGGGAGTGAGAAAACAAATCAGGGTGCAGCACCAGGGATCGTAACAATTGGCACCGAACCCCTCAGCAGAGCACTCAGCCCTGCAGCAAGACATGTCTGCTCTTTTCCCATCACAGCCCTCTGCTCCAACAGACTTTCTCTTAAGGAAAAGAAGCTATGGAGCTATTACTAACAAAGAACCTTTTCTCACCTGGATTCACTTTGCCACTGGCTGCCTCCAGGCCGCTCTGTGAGGAGCTCCCTGTCCCCTCCCCAAGGGGATTCTCATTTCAGTTTGCTTGGCTGTTCATGAGAGGCTGCTGTACCTGCAGCTGCAGAGGCATCTGAGGTGCAGTCCCAGGGTCTCTCAGCAGCACAGTGGCTGCCTGGCTGCAGCGCCCAGCTGCCGGGCACCTGATGGCTCCTATTTCTGGTCTCCAGCATCTTGAGTTATCTGGCTTTGGCATCAAACTTCTAAAAAGCTTGACGTAATAATTGGAAAAGCAGGACGATTTATTAAGCTTATTAGAATTGCTGACACAGAAGAGTTCAAGATACATTCCAATCCTAATGCCAATTTTTGCTCTTTTGAAGGCATAAAACCTCACTTCACTTAACCCCATCCTTAGGACACTCTCCCTGTGCTTCCCCCAGGCACGGGGGAGGAGTGGGGGGAGGAGGAACAGCTACACCTCTGCCATTGCTCTTGGCCCCTTTGTGGAGGTGCCAGCAGCATTCTCTGACACAGCAGTGCTCAGGGCTGCTTCCCATTGCCTGCTGGGTGCCAAAGGGGAGCTGTGGGGTGGCAGCTCATGGGAGGAGGAGAAATAAAGTTTGAGTGCAGATCTGCACTGGAGTAAAACTGCCCCATGCACTCCAGCAGCTGAATGTGGAGGGGATTCATCTGCTTCTTAGTTTGGCTCTGTCGTTCTTGTGTGGAGTGTTGCAATTGCTGTAATTATAATGACTTGAAAGGAAAGCTACTAAAATGAAGTGCTGAAGTCAGAAGAGAATGTTTACATACAGACGGGCATTCAGATGAGTTCTTCTGCCAGTGGCTGCTGGAATGCAGACAAGTAGGCTTTAAAGAGCAGCAAATCAAAGAAACACTAACAAAATGATTCCCTTTTTTGCTAATTGTTAACAGATTGTCAGCAAACTCGAGCGAGAACGGGGGTTTGAAGATGTCCAGAAACAGCTCCAGCAAGTAAAAGCCTTATTTGATGAAAAGAAGAAATGCAAATGGGTTTGAGCAAAGCACTGCCTCACAGCATCACTGCGGGGAACTTGAAATAAGCGCTGCTGCTCCCCAGGCAGTTCTGAATGACTCTGTACAGGGCTCGAGCCACTTGGACACTGCTTCACTCTGACCATTCCATACCCCAGTTTGGGAACGGAGGGTGCACAGGGCTGGATATTGGACATGCCAATGTGACGGTGCAGCTGAGGCTGGCACTGGCAGCCCAGAGGTTTTAGGTACTTGAACCCAGGTACTGCCAGCTACTGCCTCTGTAAGCTTCCCACAGACTGAAAAGCAGCTTGTAGGATCTGCACGCTGCAAGCTCGGAGTTGCCCATGTGAACCTTTACATTGCTTTGCTCTGTTTGGAAAAGAGAAAGCTGATGATGGTTTGCCACACCCTTCCCACAGCCGCAGACAGGCTGTGGGGTCAGCACGCTGCCCAGCTGCAGGCTCCTTCCTTCCAGGCAAATGTAGGCTGGCTCCTGTTGCAATGAAAAGCAGCACCCAGTGACACTTGGGAGAAGCTTGCTTTGCAAGGGGGTGGGGCTGAGCTTTGAAGTGCAAATGCCACATGGCAGGAGTTTAGAAATGGCTTTGCAGGGGGAGCCAACCACAGATCAGGGCTTCGGAGAAAGGACCTGCTCTGGCATCAGTCTGTGTTTACATTTCTGCCTCTCCATCCTTAGACAAGCTGTGAAGCCCCTGTGAGCAGCTTCCGAGGTGTAACCTCTGCGGCCACGCTGCCTCAGAGCAGGCAGCTGTGATGGCTGCGCTCAGAGAACAGCCCCTGTCTGCCAGCTCTGTCAGCCTCACCACCTGTGTGCAGGTGGCTCACAAACCCAATGCCAGCATCTCATTGTATTTTTCCAGGTTGTCCAAACAAAGGTTTTGTCAAAAGAAGGTTAATTAGGGCTTGGGCAGCCTGCTGTCATCCTGCTGGGGAGGTTTTTGAGGCGTGGATGTTTTCAAAGAAAGACCTGGGAGGAAGAAGCATTGCGTTTGTGGCTGACACCCAATGGAAGAGCTGTGGTGCCGCTCTGCTGCCGCACAGCTGCACTTCCATGTGAGCTGCAAGGTTTGGTCACCACGGGCTCTGCTTTGATTGCTATAATGGCACATACTAAGGCTTCAGCCAGCACCCAATTTTCAGGCAGGGCTTTGATCAGCAGCATCTCCTCTACAAGGTGGGAGAAGGCCCAAAAAGCATTGCCTCGAGGCTCCTGAGGGCCCCACCACTGGGCAACCATGCGCTGTCCCCTGCCTTGGTACAACCGGCTCACACTTAGAGCAGGCAGCATCCTCTGGGTCTTGGGATGAGGCAGAGACGTGGCACGTGGCTCCCAGGCAGCTGAGCAGTCCAAACAGGCGTTCCCGTGCAGCACTGCCTTGGTGATGCCCAGAGGTCACAGCACACCAGCAGAGCGGAGCTGGCCAGGCTGGCTGTGCATGGCCGGCCAGCGGCAGGGGGGGCAAACAGCCACACCTGGGCAGAAGGAAGGGCATCTGCTCCCATGGGAAGAACAAAACAAAACACGTTGCCTACTGGTCTGCCCCCTCCCTGCCGTATGATTGCACAAATTGTTCCTCTTGCAGATCAGAGAGGGGAGCCGCCTGTCCGTACTGTGATGGCTTTGTTTTAATTCAAGTCTTATACTTGCTATTAAGTTTACACTTTATACTTGATGGAATGTATGGCTTTGTTCAGGAAGCTGCACTACAATGTTGCAGTGCTTTCAGCAGTTCTCTCCTCTGCCAGGCGTGGTAAGTTTCATTTTAATGGAAAAGAGCCGAACCAATCTAACCCGTCTTGCCCTCTGTCCTAAAGGAGTGCACTGTGGCTCGAGTAGCACATAAATGCAGATCAGCTGTACTTAAGGGCTGTGATTTTTAATGTTCTTAACCTGAGCTTTTTAAGCAGCGTCAAACTAATCGATGATAAAGCACAGTAACTACCACTGAAGGACAGGCATCAGCAGTTTGCTCACTGCACTCAGGCAGACGCCTCACGAGTTGAGCTCCATTTCGGTTGATGGCTGGAAGTGCATGAGAAGGAAACGCGCTCGTTTTGTTCAACAGTGACCTTCTGTACAGGCAGAAGCACAACTCACAGCTTCTGCTTGGAAAGCTGTAAAATAGAATCTGTTTGCGTGGGTCTGATCCTGTGAACCTCACTGTGTGTTTATATGATGAGAAAACTGAAACCAGTCCTATTCTGTATTTGTACTACTGCTTGTTTGCTGCAATAGCGTTAATGATTTCTAGAGATTAAGTATGTGTTGAAGCAGGCCCTGTAGCTTTGCCTACGGCCTGGAATAGGATTCTTGCCTTGTATCGGAGCCTCCTAACCAGCTTCACTCTGTTGTAGCCCATTTGAAGTCATGCTGGGACTTTGTAAACCATGAAGTGGATCTCACAAAGTGACGTGAAGTATAATGAAGTGATTGTAGCTCTTGTGGTAGGTTTGGGACCTCACAAAACATTGGCACAACTCCCACCCTCACAGTCTGCTGTTACTCGGACAAAACAAGGTATTGACTAAAGCTGCCTTCTGGCAACCCAACAACTGTAGTCGCGTTCTCTAAAATGAAAGCAAACCTCTCTTGAACTGATTTCCACATGTTTACAGGCAAACAGCTATTGCAAACAGCTTATTTTCTAACACTAGCTTACAGAGCATTATTTTGCAGTCATTAAAAGTCAAATGCTACTAATGTGTAAAGTAATTCCTGTTGTACAGAAGTTAACCTGTTGTTTAAAATGAATGGTTTGAAAAAAGTGCAAACGACAAATACATGTTGGTGTTTGTATGGGTTTATCTCAAATAAAGTGCATTTGAAGGCTGGTTAGATTACTTTGTGTATTTTAAAATGGTTGAGAGAGCAAACAGTTTTGCAGTGGTGCCCGGGCCAGGAGGAGAGTGCAAGATGCAGTACAATCAGCTTCCATTGCTTCCAGCAGTTACAGGTGCCATGCACTGCTTTCCTTGGAGAGCACTTAGGAAACCGTAATACAGCACTTATGTTTATCTATGGCACAGAAAGTAAAACATGCTGGAGAGCAAAGCTGAATGCATGACAATGCCAGCCACCACCTGCAGCTCATTCCTCAGCTGACTGTTCCTACAGTTCCAACAATATGCAGTCAAGTATTAAACACTTTTCATTAATGAATTTACACTGCAGTATCCCGAAAAAAACAAAACAGCAAGAAGAAGCCAGCCCACACCTCCAAGTTTTCACTATCAAGTCATCAAAAATTAATTGAATCTCCACAGGTGTTAAGCTGATAACCAAGGAAAACAACTTAAACCTTAAATAAATAAATTTATTGTAGCTGACAAAACAAGCTACAGTGGCAACAAATACAAACTAACGTTTTCATCACCTGAAGGCAATTTGTTACACTTCATCTCTACAACAGTATTTTTTTAAAAACTAATTGTTGCTTCTTGATGTTACAAAACCAAGAGGCACATGGACAACAGCAAAGTCAGGAGCACCCATTTCACCCCATCTGTCTGCATGGGAATTTCGGAGCACCGCTCCAGGCGTGGATTCCAGCAGCTGGAGTACTATCACAAATGTAGTTTATTTCGTGTCTTGACTCCCAAATATTTGTATAGCATTTCTATAAAGATATTTTCAAAATGCTGTTATAACGTTTTCATTTCGATACCATCCCGTTTGCTAACGGATCAAAACACAAAACTGCACAGGATGTATTTCCCGCACCTCCGCACGCACAGTCGTGCTTTGGAGGATATTAAGAGCACGTAGCCAGGAGGAGCTACTGCAAACAGCACCTACAGATTGCACGCCTTATGCAGAGTCCTCGCTCTGCACGGCAGCTCCCTCTGCTCCCCTGCTGGACGCCAGCTCCCTGCGTGTTCCTGCTGTGAGCCGCTCCCCAGCCGGCCCAAGCTCCTGCAGCTGCTTTCTCTGCCTGGTTTCGAGATCTTCCAGCCGCTTGCGAAGCAGGGAGAGCTCTCTCTGATGCTGTTCTTCCTTGAAATTAATAGAAGTGGCTCTATTATACTTTGCACGCCTCCAAGGGACCAAAACGAGCAGTTGTTTCATTTTTTAAAGTAATGATTTTGAAACAAAAACTGTGATGTTTGAAATGTTATTCATTACATTCCAGCCTCCAGCACCCCCCACTTCCAGCAGGTCTCGCTCTGACACTCATGGCAAGCAGCAGTAGCAAGAAATGGGAGCACAGCACTGCTGCTCCGAGATGAAGACACACAGCAGCTGTGGCCTCACCTCAGGGACAGCAATCAGCAGTGCTGGCTGGGCCACCTCAGAGAGATTATCACCCTCAGAAGCACTCTGGGGTACACAGAATGCTTTTAAGCCCACAAGATACAGTGAGTGACAATCCTGTTTTGTAATTATGGAGTCATGACGTGAGAAAAAACACTATGACATTTCATGTCCAGAAGGAGCCATTTAAAGCCTCAAAATAAGCACAGAGGGCAGAGAATGGGGTTAGAACTGCATTTGTTACATTCTGTAACGTGCCCTTTGTCTTTCAAGAACTCCTTCCCATTATCATAGAATCACAGGTTGAAAAGAATGGCCTGGGTTGAAAAGGACCACAATGATCGTCCAGTTTCAACCCCCTGCTCTGTGCAGGATCACCAACCACCAGACCAGGCTGCCCAGAGCCACATCCAGCCTTGAATGCCTCCAGGGATGGGGCATCCACAGCCTCCTTGGGCAACCTGTGCCAGTGTGTCACCAACCTCTGTGTGAAAAACTTCCTCCTAATATCTAACCTAAACCTTCCCTGTCTCAGTTTAAGACCATTCCCCCTTGTGCTATCACTATCCGCCCCTGTAAACAGCCGTTCTCCTTCCTGTTAATATGCCACTACAAGCAAAGAAACATTAAAAAGAGGGAGGAATCCCTTTAGTTAAGATCTTGCACTCCTCCCTTTGTTACCACTGAGGCCCCAAACCCTTCTGTTGCATTAGTGCCACGTGCTGTGGCACAGTACCTGAAGGAGGAGGAAGGACACGTCGGGCCCAGGAGGCGGGACAGATGCTGATGTTACACTGACTGGGTTCAGGGATGGGATGCCAGGATTCAAAATCAAACTGCGGAATTCGTTGTGTCTGCGCTGCAAGTCCTTCAGTCTCCTCTGGAGACGTGTGTGTTCTTCATAGGAAACATTCTGCCTATGAAATAACATTTCTTAATGCTTACGATCCCGACATGACAGCACACCTCTCTGTAGGTACTTTGCTGCTTACTGTCCTTGTGCAAGAACACTACCATTAGCAAACATGAAGACATGATTTGACCACTTGTGTGTATTTCTCTGCCTGAATGGCTAGCAGTGCCAGCACACAGTAACCTACAGCAGGATTAGATTTTACACGGAATAAACTAAGCTGCTAATGGCATTCACAGTGGTGAGCCACAGGTGCACCATTCAATTCATTATTTGAACCAAGCCGTCCGTACTGCACAGTGAAGAGAAAAAGCAGCTGGTCCTTCCAAGAGGGCGTTAGGCCTGTTTCCTTTGTCACTCTGAAGTCAGTTTCTTTCCTGTCTTCCATCTCCACATACTGTGCTTTCAACTCCAGCACTGCTTCACTCACATCTCTTTCTTTTTTTTTTTGTAAAAAGAATTGTTCTTTTGAAGGGATTCGTGCAACCACATCTATACAGTTTCCAGATAGCTTTCCTCTATCTTTCCACCACCAACACAGCCATCAGAAATGGACTCCACTCACAGAATTCCCATGTGAACAACACCATTAGATTGTACTGCAGCTACCACACTAACTAGCACGCATCTTCAAAAGCAATTCACATTTCTGAGTCACATTTGGGCCATGTATCATTTTTTCAAGCAAGGAAAAAGCATTTATTTATTACCTATTTAACACCTGGTTTTCTTTTTCTAGTTCCTCTATCTTGGCTTCCAAAAGTTGCAGTTTCTCTTGCATCCTCCTTTGTTTATTATCATTGAGAGTCTTTCTCTGTCAAAGAGACATTTCAAATAGAGCAAAGTAACACTTTGATAGATCAGTTCCTGTGAAATCAAATCCGTCCCGTACGTGGCTTAATGCTCTGACAGCATCTCCCACCAGTGAGGTCTCATCTCACTGGTGACAGGACGAGGGAAAATGGCCTCAAGTTGCTCCAGGGTAAGTTTAGGTTGGATATCAGGAAAAACTTCTTTACAGAAAGGGTTGTTAAGCACTGGAATGGGCTCCCAGGGAGCTGGTTGAGTCACCATCCCTGGAGGTGTTTAAAACCCATTTGGACGTGGTGCTCAGGATTTAGGGACAGGATTTAGCGGCGAGTTTTTAGTTAGGGTAGGATGGTAAGATCGTGGTTGGACTCGATGACCTTTAAGGTCTTTTCCAACCTGAGTGAGTGATTCTAATAACCAAGCAGTCCACCTCTTAAAAGCACAGAAATACACACAGAAAGAAACCCTCACCAAACCATAGATGGCGTTAAAACAAAGTTGTCAGCTGTAACATTCTTGTGCACATCGCTTCAACACATTTCTCTGCTAAGAACTGGATGTACTTTGTCATTACATACAACAGATTGCAAATCAACTCTTAATATTAAAACAATTCTGGTCTAGAAATCTGAACTTTTCATAAATAGGATCATTTACAAAAGAAGAGCCAACGTACCTTTTTTTGAGCAACTGCAGCTCGACACAGCTTGTTCTTCACCTCGTTGTATTTCTCTTCCTTCTCTGTCACGCGCTGAGTAAGCAGATGCTTCTCCTCCAGCCACTCCATGCGCCTGTATTCTAAAGCCCTTCAAAAGGACAGGTTAAAAAGGTAAGGAGTTACACAGATGAAGCAGTTTTTTGGCTTAATGCCTTAAGGCTCTTAAAATAAACACTTCTTTTCACAGCTCCCGTCTTTATAGATTTGAAACTTCCAACTTAAATGTGACTGTGCTCAAGACTCACCATATTTGAACCCGTGCATCAACGTAACCTTAGAGGTTTTACATCTTTGAAGGAAATGTTGAAAACTAAATCCAGCAACTGTGCAGAGGACATCTCGAAATTCCAATCAAATCATCACACTGGAACACAACATGAAACAACTGTGCCAAGCATCAGCTGTCAGAAGGGCTGATGAGACTTGTTGAGATGATGAGATTTGTTTAGAACTTTGCATGGTTGGAACATATTAAAATTAGGCTGCGATCTCCAGCAGTGGACTGGGAAAGGAGGAAGTTTCTCTGCTGGATTTTTTGTTGCAGCTATCTCAAAGCAGAGAAGAACCAACTGCCTGTTAACTACTTTGTGACAAAAAAAGTCAAACGGTGAGATTCAGTCCAGCAGCTTTTAAGAAATACAGATCGGCATCAATGCATTTAGACTTGGGCTGATGCAGTTTCCCTAATGGGAGTCTTGATGATTCTTCATAAAGCTCTCCTCAAACACCCTTTCCCTTCCCCACAGTGTTAACATCACTCAAATCAGAACCAGGATCCTGGCCTACCTGAAATCCTTCACTGCTCCTTTAGTTGCTCGCAAAAAAATTACTACCACCCCCAGAACCAAAGAGAAACACACTGCTTAACAGCAGAACTTCAGCTGAGACACTGGTTAAAAGTCTCACAACATTTTTATTCAATTTCTCAAGGAAATTCCACTAATGTTGTTCCTGAAATGTTTAACAAGTGCCTCCTCCAGCTCATCTCTCATCTCTGTCAGTTTATCAGGCTCATGGTTTGCCTTTGGCTCTTTTTCTCATTTCACTTTTTCATTTCCAAGCTTAAGCCAGACAAAGCTAAATTCTTTGCCTACTCTTGCTGTCTGCCCAAATAGCATTAGTTTAACTTATCTGAAACTGGTTATCTCAGCCTCTCTTATCTTTTGGTCCTTTTTTTTGCTTCTCTTTAAGCTATATTGCTTTGGTGCTACTTAACTTCTGGAGTTCAAGCTCAAAAGAATTATTGAACTGAGGAAAGAAGTCACATCAGCCACACAGCCAGGAAAAAAAAAAAAAGGGAAACATCCCAAGACTCCTGTGGTAAGAGAAGGACAGCCAGGGAGGACTTGCAGGTAAGGCTGCAAAGCTTCTTAGTTTCTGCAGTAACAGTCTTGGTGCATCTCCCATTATCTATAGGCTTATAAAATTATCTTGGCCTCATATCAGCTAAAAGGATGTGGTAGAAGAAGTAAGAAGTACACACATATGCTGGGTCCCCAAAATCTTATCAAAGCACAGTAGCACAGTCACTTGTTTTACTTTTGTACTTCTACACTCTCTAACATTCAAACACTCTGTGAAATTCTGGATCCATTCTACATGCAAGATATATGTTCAATAGAAATAGAACCTCATTCATAAAATCGATGCATTTCATTAGTCAACAATTAACTGTAACAGGTATGGATGGAATCAAACCCCTACTTCTGAAGTTATCAGGAGCAAAGTTTTTATGTATACAGCATAACAGAAGGTATGGCTTTTTCTTTTTTGTCAGCACAATTGTCCAGTCTTTCCTGCTGACATTTAGTCATAGAATCATTTGAGTCGGGAGGGACCTTTAAAGGTCATCTGTTCCAACTCCCCTGCAGTGAGCAGGGACACCACAGCTACGTCAGGTTAATTTCAGACATTTTCAGCAACTACATCCCATACTGAACAATCCATGTGAAAGCAATACAAGCAGTGTGAAAACAAAAAGTAAAACCAAAAGAGAACAAAATTTACTTCTCTGTTTCCAGTTGGGCTTTTTCTGCCTGACTTCTTGCATTTTGACATTCTTGTCTCAATCTTTCTACTGTTTCCTTCAACTTCTGATTATATTCCAGCAAATCATTTTCTGACCGAGAAAGTGAAGCCACTTGGAGTTGCATGTCTTGAATTTGCTATTAAAAAAAAAAAAGAAATATATACGCAAATATCTACATTAATTTTGAGATACTGCACATGTCAACATTCCTTTATCATAAACCTTTCTTATTTGTTCCCTTTCTCCTTGCTCAACAGCTTATCTAGCAGTTTTACAGTAAACTACTACTAGACAAGAAAGAACTTTCCTATTGCTGTTGAAATACGAAAGGGAAGGAGAGGAAGGAATCCAGTCTGAGTCCCCTGTAACTCAGGGAATCTGACATTAAGCCTTAGAGCTGAACAGAACCAGAGCATCACAGCACACCAATGAGCTGAGCTTTGGAGCTACTCACTCTTCTCTCTCCATTACAGCCCTCAGTGGCTGCACAAACCAGTTCACAAAAGCAAGTAGAGTCTGAAAAGTCCAATCCCTGCAGTCAGCACAGAAAAAGGATGCTTATTCCCCTTTTCCTCGCCTTAATTACACACTCAGATATCCCAATTTCTACAGGAAAAAAGATATTAACTTCAGGTGCACAGCCATATTTGTATCTACCAAGGTACAGTATGGCTGAGCAGGAGTTATAAGAATTAGGTTTCATTTGCATTACTGCCATTAATTCATCTTGCAATAGAAATATATCTTTTTACTCCAGTTTATTCGTTTATGAAACATCTGTTAAGCACTTGAAGAACCTCAGATGAGAGATGCGGTGTAAATGCAGAGCATTACCTAGAAACAGTTTATAGTTTCCATGGAAACTGAATCTCCAGTTAAATAGTGCATAACCATATTCAATATAGCAGCCTATAAACATTCCATTTTGAAATCACTGATACCTACAAAATGCACGAGGCAGAAAGCTGTAATCCATCCAGGAAAGCAGGGCTGATTCCTGAACACTTGATTTACAGAGCTGTTAAATGCATTTCATCCCTCGGAAAAAAAAAATCCTTCAAAATCCAATCTGATCTTCAGACACTGGTCATGGTAACTGCAGGAAAGGCTGTGTTCCTCTATGAAACATTACCAAAACCCTTACCTGTTTTAGATCATCTCTCTCACGTTTCTTTTCCTCGAGCTCCTCTGTCTGAATAGCTTGCTGTTGAATTTTTAATCTGAAATTGTTTAAGATACTCTTATTTTTATCTCATTAAAATATAGACGGTAGCAAAATACAAATCAGGCTGACAATAGAACACGTTGCATACATATTTAGCAGTCTTACCAATTAACTACAAAATGCCTAACAATCCATTTTTATTGATGACTACATACGTTGGTTTGCTTGCTTTTGAAGTAAGAATTTTGCTGGTTTTCTCGTACTGACCTTCATACAAATACTACAGCAAACCAACTTTGCTGGGAGTTATAATAAGGAACTCACAGATATCATATTATTGTCCCAGTTTGCCAGTCGCTGGCACGATGCCATTGTGCAAAGAAAAATGGTTTCTTATAACACTGCCATTTGCAAGTGGCCAACACGGTCCAAATTCCAACACAGATAATGAAACTTCTTCAACATGTTCATTAAAGTGTTCATTTAAGGTTGGGATGAACAACGTTCACTTTTGATAAACAGCACATTTTTTTCTCCTCCCATCTTTTTACACGCTGCACAAGAAGATCCTTTTAGTTTCACATAATCAACATTTACATGTTCATAAATAGTAAACCTGTCTAATGACTTGTGAGAAGAAATTGGGGAAAAAAAAAGAGAGACATTTGCTTTAAGGCTAGGAAAGGCACTACCGCAGGCACTGAAGTTCCCTTTTGCTAGATTCTTCTGCCAGCTGCACCACACGTAGCTTCTCTTCGTACTGATCCTTTTCAGTTTGTCTCCAAGCATCCTGTTCCAACTTTGCCTTCTCCACATGAGCTAATCTGCTCTCCAGTTCTAACCTGAAACATTATTCAATATTTACAGAGATTGTTACTAAAAATGGCATTTAAGAAGTGACTCCAAACACCTCCCAGGACTTTTAGAAACTGAGCACTAAATCAACACATACTTTTCATCCTGTAAGGCTGCAATTTTTCCAAAAACTTCCTCTTTGGCAGCTTGCACTTTACGAACCAACTCTTGATCCTTTTCTACTAAAAGCACTTTATGACGCTCAACAGCTTCCTTAAGAACTTCTTTGTCTGACAGCAATCCTGCATTATGCATGAAAAAAAATACGTTTAAATGTCATTATTGATGTCATCCTGATGAAATTCATTATTAGAATTACTTTATCAATAGCAAAAGGGGAGCTAAAAAATCTGAGTTCACAGGATGGAATGTGAATGAATGAAAAAGTAGAACAAGAAAGACAGAAGAGATCATCATAGAATGGCCAGGGTTGGAAGGGACCTCAAGGATCATGAATCTCCAACCCCCCTGCCACATGCAGGGCCACCAACCTCCCCATTTCATACTAGACCAGGCTGCCCAGGGCCATATCCAGCCTGGCCTTGAACACCTCCAAGGATGGGGCATCCACAACCTCTCTGGGCAGCCTGTTCCAGCACCTCACCACTCACAGTAAAGAACTTCCTCCTGATATTCAACCTAAATCTTCCCTCCTTCAACTTAAAACCATTTCCTCTTGTCCTGCCATTATCTGCCCTTGTAAAGAGTTGACTCCCCTCCTGTTTGTAGGCTGCTTTTAGGTCCTAAAAGGCTGCAGTGAGGTCACCCTGTAGCCTTCTTTTCTCCAGGCTGAACAAGCCCAGCTCCCTCAGCCTGTCTTCATAGGGGAGGTGCTCCAGCCTTCTGATCATCTTTGTGGCCCTCCTCTGGACCCTCTCCAACAGCTCCCTGTCTTTCTTGTCCTGGGGGCTTCAGACCTGGACACAGTACTGCAGATGGGGCCTCATGAGGGCACAGTAGAGAGGGACAATCACCTCCCAGCCCCTGCTGACCCAACACAGCAACAATCAAGATAGAAACCACCATTCCAGAAGAATGTTATAGCAAACCCATGAAGGCAGTCCAGTAAAAGCTGGGTGGTGATTTACATCATCAGCAACTAGTCTTAGAAAGCTGTGGCCTTACAATACAGGAGGCTACTTCACATTGCCAACAAGTTCAGCTGTTACCTGGTTGCTTAGACCATTGCCTGTTTTGTTCACAGAACAAGCTAGAAATTCTATTTTGTTCCACAAAAACACTTAACCCATCTTGGTTTTTTTCCCCTTCAATTCCATGGATACAGAATTGGAAAACAAATAAAACTCTGAAGTCTTCTGGTACATTAAGGTTTCAAACAAATTGCAAATAGCTGTACAGTTTGGCAGTAAATAAAAAGGTAAAACCCTAGGAAGCACATGATTTGAAACAGATTATGCTCAACTTGTATCACAAACCAATTAATTTACATGAGTGCAGGTTGCCCTGTAACAGTCCTTCATAACCTAGGAGATCAAGTGGTAGGGTGCAGTTATTTCAGACACCGAAATGAGTTTTCTGATCTGTATCACTTAGACTAGAAGCAGAAGGTGAAGATTGCTGGGGAACATTTGGAGGAAAAATAATTGAAGAGCTCTAAGTGGAAGTTATCAAAGAAACCACTAGAAATTAATTTCACTAGAAATTTATTGTGTATTTTACCATCCATTTCACTTTGAATCTTGTTTCTCTCTCTTTCTACTTCATTCTTAGTTCTTGCTGCCTCCAGTTTGACATTTGTCACTTCTAATTTGTGTGACTGTTTAAGTTCTTCTACCTATGAATTAGAAAAATAACAAATCCACTGAAAATAAATACATAGTATTCACAGCTTTACTGTTTTTCAGGCAATACTTTGCTAACAAGAAAATTCTGTCAAATAATGACCATTAGGCTTATTTTAAATATATCTTCATGAATATCTTTTTTTTTTTTTATCCACAGCTTTCCTGAAAGTCATACCACAATATCCAGATTTGTAGATAATAGTTAATGGTGACTTTATGGGTATTGTAACACTCAATCTACTGACATGTTTTATTACTTCAAGTCAGACATTGAAAATTCATGAATGTGTTGTCATTCATCTTGAAACACAAAGTTTCAGTGTTCCCTAATGAAGACAAAGTGCCCAAATACCCCATGGGTTCCAGGAACCAAGCTGTCTGACAACAGACATGGATTTCATCTTTAAGCAGACAGTTACTACAAGCTATAGTGTAGGAAATACTCTAAGATTTAGCAAAAACATGCAGGATTACCTGTAAAAACTCAGCAAATATCATGCATTTTGCAAGCAAGCTTCCAAACAGTCGAGCAGTTCTGAAAAGATTGCTTATTTGAACTGTTGTGGTGGGACACTGATCCAATACTGCATACGACCCCAGTGCCTCACTAAGCATTAGCATGTCAGCTTGCACATACCTCACTTCTAACTAAAAATCCTTCAGAGTAGAGCTAAAATTAAGCTCAGTGTAACCTCCCCAGAGTAAAACAAAACAGTGATATGCAAAACCAGGGTACCCAATGCTTCCCCGAAGTCATTTCAATGTGAATATCACTTATCCCTTTCATCACCCTTGACCTCCTGCAGTGCTACTCTACTATCAAAATCCAGGCCTTCATAGATGTCAAATGCATTTTAATTCAAATGCTTCTCTGCAGCTGTGACGTGCACATCAAACAGCCTCTTAAAAGCAGGAGTCTTAAGAATATCAAATCAAAGACAATTACTGCTTGCACAGAAACTTTTTTATAGTTTAGGCATTTGTACACAGTAATTACATGGTCAATGAGAATTAAATACCTAGAGGAAAGCACTCATATCAAAAATCCATTCACAGTGACAAATGTAATTACAACCTGCTAGCACAAGCAAGTGGCAAAAGGTTAAGAATGACACAGTCGCTTATTAAGTAACGATGTCAGTGGGTTTGGTTGCTTCAATATGAAGCTGAGAATATTTTAGGGTAATTTGCAAGGTAAGGTGGCTTTTCTAAGGCATGAGATTCAGAAGTCCACCTTTGTTCAGGAATAAGTTTGAGTGAGTGTAGAAGTGCTTGGGTGTCAGCATATGACGTGATTTTTTGCCTTCATCTCTTCAGCTGAACACCTTCATTTTCTCCAACTTCTGAAGGCTATTGGTTAAAAAATGTTTCATATAAGTTTCTTCCTCCAATTCATCCTTCCTGTTGGACAAGTACGACACGTTGTATAAAGAGGTTTAAAACTGTGATATATCCTATTCGTATGGTAAGAGCTTCTTTCGGATTAAGGACCAAAACTCAACACTTCACAGTCATAAATGTGCATTGTAAAGTTTGTCTTGGATGAAATCTGAGATTGCTAAAGAGCAATTATGGAAGAAATTGAAGATTTTTTTTCCTGTGTTGTGTCCCTTTTTGAGGCATATGCCCATATGAACCGCCATGCCCATACAAAGAACGTGTCAGCGTTGCTTTGGAGAGGATAGTTAGAAACACTGGATAGCTTTAGGTCAACAGAGCGCTTAAGATAATTCAACTAGAAGCACAAGACCAAAATTCCTGGCTTTACAGTTAGCTCAGAGATAACTCCTTTTCAAATGAGCAAGAAAACAGGATGGAGATCGTTAACAATAACTGACAAATGTGCTAAAAACTATCAGCCAGTGTTTTCTCCAGCAAGGGAAGAACAAGGAACAACAATATTTATTAACTAGGTACTTATTTCCTTAGGACAAGTGTGAGGACTCAGATTTACAAGTAACAATTCCCAATATTTGAGGTTAAAAAAAATAAATTCCTAGTGCTTCAGTTTTGCTTCCTTATCCAAATATCAGCATAGAGAATTGCATAAAGATCTGTCTGTAAGTCAAGTGCTTGAGGAGGAGCTGCAGCCAGATGAACCTGGTGTCCATGCTGATCTAATTATTGGGAAACACTGAATAGTGGCACCGAGTTTCTCAATAAACACTTGCAGATTTTCCTTATCCTGGAAGCTGTTTGTTGGTGGGGTTTTTTTTTCCCCAGCTAAGGATCTTTCTAAAAAATTCTCAAAATCCCTAAGATACGGCGCCAACCCAGCATGTAAGACACTCAAACACGTCGTTAGACAACGAACTACTTAAACTGATGGAATGCAATGCTGTACAGAAGCATTTCTGTACAAGCTATGCTGGCGTGAGTCCAAGAGCGATGCTATAGTAACACTACTGTCTTGTTTCACATGCAACCTAAATCTCAGCAGGTGATTCCAATGCAGATAACTCAAGAAAGAAAGAAAAAAAAAAAAAAACCAACAAAATGATGTCATGTTCCATGGCACTTCACAGAGTTTATGAGAAAAGAAAGCTTTTTGCCATTAGGATAAGCTGGCTATCCTCATGAGTACTAAAAACATGAAGATGCCTCTTTGTGCACGGTTAGATCTAGACAAAAAGATCTCTAAAATGAAAAAAACAAAAAAAGTGCATAACATCAATTTTGGAGATATTGAGATACTTCTAGGGATGAAGTTTTTCCTGTCAAGTCACACACTCTTAACTACATCTTCTATCTGATACTGGGAAGAAAACCCAAGCCTACTCTAAGTCACAGAAGAAAATGTGGCCTTATTCTTAACGTAAAATATAAACAGAAAAACTTATACATCATATGAACAACTGTTTCAGACATCATAAAAGCACTTACTTTAGCAGCCAAGGAATTGACTTCTTGTTCAGATTTATGGAGTTTGCTAGTTAAAAGAAAGTTCTGCTCACGACACATCTGCAGTTCTTCCTCAATCCGACTAATGTGTTGTTCAGCTGACTTCTTTTCTGCCTTGAATAAAAGAGGCATCTGTGAGATTTTTGGAGCAGGGCTGTCTCTTGCTATTCACCTGTATGGTTCAAGTGATCTCCAAATATTACTGACCTTTCATACAACAACTATCCGCAAAAATACATCATCGTTGGTTAACAATATGTTCCCACACAGGAAGGGTCTCACATTTTACTCAGAAACAACAACTATCTTGATTAACACTGCCTGCACAGAATCACACACTTCAAAAGGCAGAGATAATCTGACTCAGTTAGAAGGCAGCACCTATTGCTACCAGCTCTAAATACAGCTCAGCTCTAAATACTGGAATCACCAGTATGAGTATTATAGCCTCAAGACATGGGATTGATTGAAGTATCAAAAAAGCAATTAAACCCAAGTTTTCACCTTATTTTTTCTAATTGCGTATTTCCAGCAGGATTTTTTTTTTTAAATAAGTTTTCTAAATTAAGAATATTATGATCCTCTTTAAAATGGGATCAGAGCACTCAGCAGAGATCCACAGCACTTTGTAACAAAGTTATGTAACAGTTAAAAAAGTGAAAAGGAAAGTAAACCATATATCCACATCTTGCAGCTACGTGAGAAGCCTACATGCAAAGACTCACTGGCTAGGCAGATAGCAAGAACTGAAGACAAGGAATGAAGAGGAACACTAAAACAGGCCAGAAATAAAAGCAGTTCTTAAAAGAGTGAACAAAAGCCAATAACCATACAGTCATGGTAATGCATTGAAGAGCAAAGATATAAAGATAGAAAGGACAAAAAAAAAAAAGTTATTCAAAAGAATGACAATGTACCCGTAGCAGATTAACACATGGATGTCAGTTTCTAACTGCAACTCAGTGACAACTGCTCGACTGTGAATGTGGCATCACTCACAAGGACACAAGACAACAAATAAAAGAGGAGTCTTACCTCTAGAGACCTTGCCAGACTCTGCAGCTCAGCTAACTGCCGTACTTGCACCCTTTGGACACTTTCTGCTTGTACACCACAGTTGTCTCTTTCTGCTCTTAGTTCAGCTACTTCTGCTTCTAAGCCTTTTAATTTCTGACACAGTTGTGCTTTTTCTCTGGAGAGGACCTCCACACGTTTACTGTCCCTCGTGGGATCAACGCTAACCAGCTGATTATGGAGCTCTTCTTTATCTTTCTCCAGCCTCGCAATCTAATGGTTGTCAATTGGAAAAATATAAGCCTTCACACTGATAAGGTGTCACACAGCAATAAGTACAGTGGTTGACAGTTCAGGAAAGTCCAACAGCGTGCATTTAAGTTATTATGAAATTACATTAACATTTAAGTTAGAACAATTCACAGACACAGCAGTCAATGCCTCCTTGTGATTCAGTTTTCACCAATAAGGCTCATGCTCAGATGTTCCTAAACTGCCTAGCAATAGGTGGAAGTAAATCAGCAGCTACAGGAGAGGAGGAAGTTGGGGATCACATAAAGCACTGCATACAGGAGTCCTTGGAATGAATCTTTGAGAAACAGTGGCAATCAGAAAAGGTTCCCGAAGACTGGAAAGAGGCAGATGGCAAAGCCATGATTAGGGGGGCAAACCAGTCAAGGAGGAAGATCCAGGTAACTGCAGGATGGTCAGCCTCACCTCTGTCTCTGGGAAGGTTACAAAGCAAACCTTCTCAGAAGTTTATCCACGCATCTGGAAATGACAAGATGATGGAATGCAGAGCTTATCAAAGGCAAAACATGCTCGACTTACTTCCTTCTAGCAAGAGATGCCTGGCACTGCAGACTAAGAAAGCACACTAGGTCTCACCAAATTGGTGAGATACAGGCAGAACAACTGTATATGAAGAAGTAGGTGGAAAAGCTACTGCTGCACAGAAAGGAATCTGGGTATTCTGGCCAACAGCTAGAGTACGAGTTGGCAGACAAGTGTAGTATTTAGTCAGAGTGGCCTTGCAGCAAAGATAACCAACTGCAACTGGTGATCTGGCAAAAAGACAGCCAGCAGATCCAGGGAAACGATTCTCTTCCTCCTTCCAGCTCTTGTGGGACCACAGCTGGCATACTGTGCCTGGTGCTTGAATATTGACACACTGAATAAATCCAGTGGTAGGACACCGAGAATGCTGGGAGCATGACATGAAGACAGGCTGAGAGAACTGGGCCTGTTCAGCTTGGATAAGAAAGGCTCTGGAATAACTACTGTTTGCTACAATGATCGTCCAAGAAGAGATAGAGCAGATGGATCGAGAGCCTTCTCAGAGGTGCGTGGTGATAGGAAGAGAGGCAACAGATACAAGATGGAATATGAAAAATTTCAAGTAGATGATAGGAAGAAATGTTCACCATGAAGGTGGTTGGATATTGGAATTCTTTGCCCAGAAAGGCTGTGAGTCTCCATCCTCACAGATGTTCTAGACTCAACTGAGCCTGGTGCTGAGCAACCCAATCTCATTAAACCTTATTATTTAAGCAGGGGGTTAGGCTAAACTAGAAGGAGGTCTCTTCCAACCTACCATATGATTGTATATTTCTGTAACCACAGTATAGCTCAAGCACACAGTAACTGAAGACAGTCAAGGTGACTTGGCCAGTCAGAAAGCAAAGCAAGCTTCCAAGGCAGTACAAATAGATACAAACTCATCTTGAGACTGTAACAAACGTATACACATAGATTCCAAAATAAGCTACATGGACTAAATGTATTGTGAAGACAGGGGCAAAAGAGTCAGAAAGTAAGCTGACAGAGCTTTCTCCATATTTGAAGGCACAATATTCCAAACCCTGCTTGGCAGCAGCACTTTTAGAAGTTCCATCAGTGATTTCTACAGAGCAAAGCCAAAATCTGCAGCAGCTGCCATCTAAATCCCTTTCATGAGAAAATTCAAGTCTTACTGCATGACATGCCTGAGGAAGCACTAAGGAATTAGGATGTTTTTGTAGCCCCCTTGCAATAAATAATGTGGGAGGTTAAAAACGTTCAAAATATGAGAAAAAAACTAGACTACACTTTGCCCTGGGCTCAAGGTAATTCCATTCTCTTTAGGAGCGCTAATTAGTTGCAGCATTAGCACAAACTCAACAAGCCCATAAGACAGGCAGGCTGTAAAGCAGCATGTGCAGTTAGCTCTGGGAAGGACAAATGTTCTGTTTTTAAAGCTTTTCATTTCTGAATTTGGACTGATTTTGAAAGCAATGATTGCCTTTGATTTATGCCTCATGTTTGGACTAATGCGTCCAAATCTGGCATCTCCTGATACGCTCCCAGACAAATACTTAAATGAATATGCTAATGACATGTACAACACTCATTTACACTGCTGCATGTATTTAAGAGATGAATAAGATGCCAATTTATTTAGCTGCACTTTTGAAAGTCCAGTTCTGATACAAACAAACTGTGGATTGCTTATTCAGGAGTTGGCACAACTGAAATCAAGTTACCAAAGCTTTGAGTATCCTGTCAGTATCATTCTTACTGTCATAATCCAGCCTAGTTTCAAGACACGTGCCCTTGCCTGGTAGCAACAATATCTTCTGAACTTTTTTCATTAGTTACCACATTTACCACATAATTTTATTTATTTATTTTTTTTTTTTTACCAGTTGCTCACATAACTTATTAATTTCAGGTTAGCATAACATCTCATCTCCTATCAGGAACGTGATTTCCAAAAAGCATGTAAGCAGAGCTACTAGTTGACATTCATCAGAAGGCAAGACTACTGTTGTGGTAGCACATACGATACTGCAACACATGGCTGAATAAGCCTACAGAGACAGCCTGAGGCTAAGCCATGAAAGTGTTTTGAGAATTATGAGAGCAGAAACAAATACTACGTTATGAAATTATGTCAATCTGACAACCCACCAAAGCACCAACACTCACAGCATTCACAGCATTCACAGAATCACAGAATCACAGAATCACCCGGGTTGGAATTCACACAGCTTTATCAGATACAGTTTAAGCTAAAGTAATATCATGTACCTCTGCCTCATATTTTATTTTCTCCTCCTCTAAAACATGTTCATGTTCTTCTTTTTGATGCTCAAATTCCGACTTCAGGAAAGTATGCTCATACCGAAGTTTGTTATATTCTGTTCTGTATTTTTCCATTTCCTAAATCAGACAAATGAAACATTCGGTATGAAGTTGGCAGTTTTACCTCCAGCTTCAAATGTCCATGCAACGCTTCAGTCGTTTCATAAGGGCTTTTGTGTAGGAACGGATCCCTCCTTATCCTAGGGCTTCAGCCTTCACCACTTGGGGCAGCAGTACTGAACAATACCAGGCAAAGCAAAGTTGCACACACTGACTGCCCTTCAGTTTCCTAAGGTTTTTAGGAGCAGTTACAAATTGGTAGCCTCCACTCTAAAAGAAACAAGATTAAATACTTGCTACTTACATTTTCTAGTTTCCGATAACGTTCTGTCATTGGAGATTCCAATTCCTGTTGTATTTGTGCTCTTAGCAGCTCTAATTTTTGGGGAGTTAGCACCTTCAGACAGAAAGGTATTCATATTCGTTTACGTACATCGTGACAGCCCAAATATCCATAAATAAAGCATTTTAAGGAAGGCTCCAGTATTTTAAGTTAAGTTCTAAAGTCTTCTAAGTTCTGCTTAATTTTCTATGTTTTTCTAAGGAATTTTTCAAACAGTAGTTACAGAAGCAAAGAAATATAATATTAATGAACTAAAAATATTCTGGGTAGATAACAGATTTTAAATGTCAGCATTCACTAGAAGAAGCAGTACAAATGTCAGTCAGTGTCTGGGGATCCTCTGTTGGATGCTGTATTTGTTTCCTAGGAACTGCCTCACATTAGTTTAAGGAAACAAGTAACTATAGAAAATGTCATGCAACTGGACTTAAATGTTTTTGGTGTTGTTTGTTTGCTTTCATGATGAGGAAAGTTGCCATCAAGAAGAGAAACAAGTATCTACTCTGGTAATCACCTGGGCAGATGATTGTCCTCATATCAGGACACACAAGGACAGAGACTGTGGCTCAGACTGAGGGTCTCACTATTAATGTAGTACATGATAAAAGAATTTGGAAGATTTTGTTAAAAAACAAAACAATAACCTCATGCCACAGTCACTCTAAGGAAGAAATATATTGAGATTGACTATGTTTCAAGATACCTGCAATAGATCCAAGCCAAGTATATGCATGTTACAAACAGAACTAAAACATGGTCCTGTTACAGGATTCAAGTCCATATTAAGCTCTGCCAGTAAATTATCTCACCTGCATCTTCAGTTTTTCCAACTCTTGTGTTTTACCCAGCAACTCCTCTCTGTATTCTGCAAGAAGCAGCTGGAATTTGTCATGTACAGCCTGCTTTTCAACCAGCAATCGCTTCAGTTCATCTTGGGATTTTGTATACTCTTCCTGTAATCTGTGAGAGAAAACAAATTTCTTTCACAGCTACCCTCCAAATTAAAGCTCATCTTCAGAAACAAAAATTAAAATATCAAGACTGAATTAAGCTTTTAATATCCTTTTCCTGTAATATATTGAAAACTTATTTCACACCTATAATGTCTTAAGGAATTTTGAATTTTCTGCAGTAACCAATACTCAAAAGTGTCCTTAAATAGAGAAATAGCCAACACACACAAAACCCCATCCACCCAGCACCGAGCTCCATCTTTTAACATTTCAAATGAAGAAACCTACTTAAATTCATGTACCTTAAATGTTCTGCCTTTATAGTTTGATAATTTGCTTTATGGTGTTCACAGCGCATTTTTTCATCAATCAGAAGTTTTTGCAACTCTTGGGAATTGGCCACATCACCATTTCCAACCACGGGAGGAAGGAGGCTGCCCAAAGTATCCATTTTGTGATGCCCGTTCACGATGGCTACTGAGAGGACAAAGTAAAAAATTAACTTATAACAGAGGTACACCAACATCCACTTTCTTGGCTGCCATCCCAGAAGGCAGGGTGACCTGGCAGAAATAGAAGCAGATGCAATTAGCAATCAAGGACACTCTGCTCAAAGGCTTCACATGCCATTTTTGCTTTCAATACAGAAGAATCCTGGCTCTGCTGTAACTCATATCAGAAACCTCCTGCTGAAAAGGCAGCACTTCCCTGCTCGTACTCTCTCAGGGACAAATAATTAAGTTAGGAGGAGATTATTTGAGTCAGTACAAAACAAGCACAAGCATCTTGCCAGTGCCAGACCATATGATTTTTTTTATTTATTCTGTATGCTGAGAATCCAAGCATGGAGTTCATTTTGTCCTGCTAACTTTGGTTCAAGGAGAGGACGCAGACATCAGACACAAACAGCTTTTGCTTATCATAGTCACAGTCTTTCTCACTACCTAACTACCTCATGCTGCTCAGCACACCAGCACATCAGCTGGAAGAACAGGGACGACCCCCACTGCTGAGGTCCAACCAAGTCCTTTCTGGAAAAGAGGGATGACTTCATGGCCGTCCACCTTCCTGACTACCCAAAGTTCAGCTCCAACACGTATCACCAACACGTGTCACTTCCTCGTTTTTCAATTCATGTGGTGGGTTTTTGTGAACTTTCCAGCGAGAGTTTTGCTAAATATGACAATCTCAGGGGGATGTGAGAAAGCTGCAAATCACCAGATGCTGAGAAATGAGGAAGTATTATAATACACCTCCCCAGTTCTTTTTGATATTGAGCAAGATATTGCCTTAGCCTGATCACTGCTGCAGCTTCTAGAGGATTTGGGGAGGGAGGTAAATTTTAGGAAGTTACAAGATTTAAAACAACTGCTCTGATATTTCAGCTTTCAGCATAAGTGACTGGTGCCTACGTGGCAGTGTGAACAAAACAACTTCTCCAGCATCAGCAAGTTCCTCACCTTTTTCACATTTGGAGCTGGACACATCACGTTCTCCTGCATTCTAGTCCCCAGATCTTCCACAGGCCTACCTTAAATGCTCAGCATTTCATTCTAGAAAGCCCCAAACTACAAACTAGATGAAAATTATCTGCCAGATAGGAAAAGAAACATGCATTAGTGCTTAATTTCTTCCTCTGTCATTATATGGGAAAAGGTGACAGCAAAGTCTACCGGTGTTCCAGTACCAGCACATGATGACAACAGCAACTGCTTTCATTCTGCTCTGCCCAAATCTGCTGAGGATAAGGAGGAGGAAATTGGAATAAAGAGTGTTCTCCTCAGTGGCTGCCCTATGCCCAGTATGCATAGCATACACTGCACGTTTGTACACGAACAGAATAAATTCTGAAGAACCTTCTAATCAAACTAGGATCTGTTTTTCATCCCTGGCTTTTGTTGGTTGTTGAGAAACAAAGCACAGTAGCCATTTTCAGACTCTATATTGTGGCATTTGCTATTGTTCAAGCAGCAGCCACGTGGGAAAATCTGCTCAGAAACCCTAAGGACAATAAGCTACGCGAGAGGACAAAGAGAACTCCAGGCAGCATGCTCCTCACAATTTCTAAGCATATCAACAAGGTTAATCGTGACCACCATAAAAAAAGCAAACAACAATACTTCTCTTCATCTCAGATCTCTGGTTCCATAAGCTGCAGTACCAAATGTAAATGTGCAACTGTACACCAACCTGTAGAACTATGTGCACAGGGCTTGGGCCTGGACCCTATGGCTCACATGAAGAAGAAGTGCTTCTGGAGTTGTATAACAGATACACATTCAACATCACCACAAAACCATGAAGTTTTCTGACTAAAAGAAAGAGAGAAATGGGAACGCGGGCTTTTGCTCTTTCAGTTCCAAGCCTTCACACGCACTCTCACAGCTTTCACTACTATCAGAAACTCCAAAGATTAGAAAGCAACACACATGCAGTTATGCATTCATCTGCCTAAAGGCTGCAAGTAGAACAAAAGAGGAAAGAAGAAAAGGGAAAAAAACACAGCGCACAAAACCATTTCATACCCTCAAAAAACCCAAACTGGATGTTCTAAAGGCAACAAAGCTATTTTGGCTTGCAGGGACATCTAGTGGCAAACTTCGCGACTTGCAATCCGCAGCGATAGATTTCCCGAAGTCCCTTTCCCTGAAACCACTGACAGCAATTTGCAACATGTAAACATCTCGCTTTCTTACTTTTTTTTTTCTTTCAAAAGAAAGTAGAATCATAGAATCACTCAGGTTGGAAAAGACCTTAAAGATCATCGAGTCCAACCAAACTTAACCATACTATCCTAAGAAACCTCCACTAAATCACATCCCTGAGCACCACATCCAAACGGGTTTTAAACACCTCCAGGGATGGTGACTCAACCACCTCCCTGGGAAGCCCGTTCCAGCGCTTAACAACCCTTTCTGTAAAGTTTTCCCTGATCTCCAACCTAAACTTACCCTGGTGCAACTTGAGGTCAACCAGGAATTACTGATAGGGCTGCTAATGCTCAACTACTGACAAGAATCTCTTCTGTGCCAGTGGCACCATCTCAGCTATGTCGGCTGACGCTTAGACATAAACGCCTTCAAATTTGCCCAAGACCACCCATGCTATTTTTGAAAAACACTTTCCAAGAATGCTAGTTAAAATTCCTGCCTCCCATGAAGACCTGTTTGAAAAGCAGAGAACCATAAAATACACTTTAAAGAAACTAAAACCCCAATGTATATAACATTATTTGTACATCCGTCAAATTTTACCCTGCTATAGAACTGTAAGCTTTTGTCAGCTGCCCAAATCCACACTAGAAAATCTTAACATCATATTGTGCAGGTACATACAGAAAAGTATTGGTGCAAAGTCCTAAAGCTTCAGTTATATTTTTGGTGGAAAATGAAGCTAAGTGAAGGAAATGAGCTACGTTTCCTAGAACCATCTTTGTTCTGCCTTTCTTCTCCAGTTATTATCTTCATACAGAAAGAAGGTCTTCATACTTAATGACCTACTTCACCTCTCTACCCTTTAAATCCACACATCACGAAAGGACATCTTCCATAAGATCTTTTGAGCTATATTACTTTAATCGCTGCATCATTTTCTTTTTCCAGGTGTGTGTAGGGAAGTTCATTTTGTTCTGCATTACCCTCCTGCTTTCTCCAGCCTCATTCCCAGACCTGACATCCATCAGACCCTTCGATTTAACTCGAGAAGCCAATAAGCTCTGACAAGCAGAAAACAGCCGTTTTGTTTGGTGAGGTCAACGAGTCACGTTAGCTCAAGGCACAACCCAGCCAGCTGGGGAATCGGGGCGAGCAGGCAGCTGGTACTGGCTGGCATGAAGGAACAGAGAGCCAAATAAGGAGGCAGAAGGAGGGACAAGACTTTCTCTTTTCAGACACAGAGAGCAGCTGCATCGCTAGTTTGGATGCTCGTGCTATCACAGCCTTGGTTTCCAGATAAAGTTAGGTTACATTAGCCCTACCTGACATCCTCTGCAGCACAGCAGGGATCAGACTTCCCACCAACACCACAGGGGACGAAAATTAACACAAAGCTGTGCATTACTTGAGAAACACGGAAGTCTGGCACTCTTCTGCCCCTGAACTTCGGAGCCTAGGCAAGTTGCAGCCCCGCCAGCCCCACACAGGACACGAGACCGAGACAACCTCTCTGAGACGCGTCGTCCGCTTCTCCCCGCTTTACAGACCCCTGCACGGGAACGACGCTCCCGGACAAACAGAGCAAGGCCTGGGAGGGCTGAGTGCACGCCGCACAGCGGAACGCCAAGCAGAAAACCCCCTCCAGCCCCTCAACAAACCCCCCACACCCGACCCGCCCGGCCGCCGCCACCAGGAATTTAAAAATGGCGCCGCGCCCCGCCTCGCCTCACCTTGCCGCCCGCTCGCGCCGCCGCCCGCCGCGGCCCCGCAGGGTATCCTGGGAGCTCCGGGACGGGCCGCGGCGAGGAGGCGGGGCGGCGTTGCCGGGGTAACGGGCTCACGCTGCCTCCCTGCTCCCGTTTGCGCCTGCGCCGTCGGCCCTGGCACCGCCTACACGCGGTGGAGGTGGCCGCGGGCGGGAGCGGCCCCGTGGCGCCTCTACGGCCCTCCCTCCGGCGGGACGGGCGGCAGCGCTGAGGCGGGCTGGGCTGGCGGGTTGGCAGCGGGTTGCCGGTACCGCGGCACTGCTGCCCGCTTCTGTGCTGCGAGGCGAATGAATGCCGTACGTCATTTAGCCGTGTCTAAAGGGGGTTACAGCCAGAAGATGCCCGACAACGACAGCTGTTTTCTAGGCAACCAGCTGATATCAACACTGGGAAAGCTTGAGTCAAAGTAGAGATCTCCTCTAGGCGTTTGCCTGGCGGTACTGCTGGCAGCATGCGAATGGCATCGTCATCTCCTGCAACAGCAGAGATAGCTGTAACTGAGCAGCTCATGGTAGTCCAACAACCGATGTGTTGGACAACTGAGTTGTACTTGGTTTGGTGTAAGCTGCCTGAAAAAATGCCACCTTTGGCCTTGCAAAACCGGAAGATGAAATAAATCACTTTTAAATGCCATAGTGCTGTGATAAGAGTCTGTCCTTAAACAGAGCACTTTTTACCGTGAAGCTCGTTAGGACCTGGATATAATTTTTAGCACACAGTAGCACAGAGTATATGCTAGCACATAAGACCACACTAAATAGAAACTGTGAGGCAACTTATGAAACCATTACTCAGTCAGATGTGTTGTACAGGACTGCTGACCACTCACTAGTGTTCTCTCTAGTGTTCTATCAGCATGTACATAGGCTGTATCTCACTTATACAGCGCTGATTGGCTGCTTCCTTCCCTTCTACAGCTGTGACAGAAAGGGATGTTTTCCAGATTAGTGCCAAATTACTAAAAGTGTACTCATCAGAGAAAAACTGCAGGTGGAATTTATTGGTCTATGGGAGATTTCACATCTGAGCATACTGTACTTGTATGTTACAGGCTTCAGATCTGATTGCACTTCCATTCCCATTCAATTGGCTCGGTTCTAGCCACACTAACTGAAAGACACTTTTTCCTAATTTACATACATGTAGTAGATGGATGGGACTTCATGCGAATGATCATGCAAGCGCTCATGACTGCTTCAAATATAAACTCCTCCTTTATCAAGCACCGTCTCCAGGCAAACATGATGATATAGTGCTTGCCCAGCCCTGGTGGAGGTGAACCCACCTCCACAGAATCATACAATCGCAAGGTTGGAAACGACCTGCAAGATCATGTAGTCCAACCACCCTCCCATTCCTATTAGTACCACAAGCTACTAAACCATATCTCGTAGCTCCTTATCCAGGTGCCTCTTGAACACTGCCAGGGACGGCGACTCCACCACCTCCATTGGTAGGTCAACCTCCAAGGGCTCAGCGTCACCATCAGGTGGATCAACATCCATTGGCTCTGGTTTGCTGCTGCTCCCCTGAAGCAGAAACTTCTTCGGTGGAGGAGGATCCATCCTCCTCTACAACAGCCTGGCACTGGGTGGGAAGGGACTTTAAATTGTTCCTTGTGTCAGATAATTGCACAAGTTGGTTAGAGACTGGTGTTCTGTTGTCAGTTGCTGCTCTGACAGTGGTTTATTGATAGTGGTTGTATTTGTCAGGAAGTGGCTTGTGACCGAGCCATGGCAGTGTGACCCTAAGAATGTCCCATGAGAACCAAAACATGGCTGTGTTGGGCAAGGGGAGGCTATGGCCTGAGAGTTGCCCTAGTTGGCACTAACGGAATTCCACAGAGCTCTATTTTTGAACCAGTTCTCTTTAATGTTTTCATCAATTACTCCAATAACGATCTGAAAGTTATATTAACTAAATTTGTAGATGATGCTAAACTAGGAGGAGTATTGACTCCCTTGAGGGCAGAGAGGCTTTGCACCAAGATCTTGACAAATTGGAGGGTGGCCCCTATCTACATGAAGAAGAGTAAGTGGTGAATTTTGCACTTATGATGGGGCAGCCCTGGCTCTGGGGTGCACTGGGTGCAGGTTTGGGCACCACGGTATCAGAAGGACATAAAAGTATTAGAGAATATCGAAAGAAGGGCTACAAAGATGATGAAGAACCTGAGAGCAACCTGAGGGCCCTGGTTTGCTCAGCCCAGAACAGAGAAGCTGAGGGGAGACCTCATGGCGGCTGCAGCCCCTTGCAGGGAGCGGAGGGGCAGCGCTGAGCTCTACTCTCTGAGCCCAAGGGAATGGCATGGAGCTGGGTCAGGTTGTGGTCAAGTTGGGGGTTTGGAAGAGGTTCTTCACCGGCAGGTGGTGGGCACTGGCACAAAATCCCCAGGGCAGTGGCTGTGGCTCCAAGCTCCTGCATTTCAAGGAGTGTTTGGACAACAGTCTCAGAAACAGGGTTTGATTTTGGGTGGTCCTATGTGGAGTCCAGAGTTGGACTCAGTTGTCCTTGTGGGTCCCTTCCAACTCAGGATATTCTGTGATTCTGTGAAAACACTGGCCAGAATGTGCTATGCACTCTTCAAAACCTAAGAAACGAGCAGCTCAGAGCAGATGATGAGTGAGACGCTGTTTTTATGACTAGTTTGTTGGCGTGTTAGCAGGGGTTGTTCAGCTCATCTCAGAAAAGGGCAGAAGTTATTAGCAGCTGGGGTGGACCCTGCTGTTTGTGAACTGAGTTAGTCTTAATATAGAAGTTGAGTTCCAGGCATCTGCATGAGACTCAGCATGACAAGACCAGTCTGCAGGTGACCTAGGAGCAACTGAATGGGAGGAATAGAAAGCTATAGGAAGTACAGCATGAGCCCAAAGCAAAACACTGTTACTGCACTATTCCTTCTCCATTTAGGGTGTAAAAATAAGATCACTGCTTCTGGCTGCCAGTGCCAGATGACAGAAACTCTGCTTTGTGAAAAGGAAATATAAATGCTTTGCTTCATGTCAGCGACGTTTGCTATTAGGCACATCACATATTAGATTTTGCGGCACATGACCGAGATTTCTGACAATAGCATAAAAAAATTTGGCTTTCATTTCAAATTCTGTTTTCCAAAAAAAGTAATCCAAAGTGAGTCCAGCTGCTTGGCACAATAAATCAAGTTTGCAGAACAGATTCACACAAGCTCTGAGAATAGCAGGATGATATCTCCTGTGATGTTTACAGATCTACTATGGCACAGATGTAAATACAATTCAAATAATCAGTTGGATCAGAACTGCAAGAGAGCACAATGCTCAGATTCCTCAGTACTTTAAAGCTTTCTTTCAGTTCACTAGCACTGCTACTGACAAAGAGAAATCAATATGAGGCAGAGTGATCAGACAGTAAGTTTAAGAGACAGCTTCCATCATCAAATAAATGTAAATATGTTTTATTAAAAAAAAAAAAAAAGTCAGTGGCACCTTAGAGGCAGTCATGACTACACAACAAAATGTACAAAAATTACGTTTTTATAGTTGCATCTTTCCACTGTGGAGCATAAAGAGAGTACGCTATGAGAAACATTGGAGACTGCACATTGAGACAATTAACTCTAGTCAATTAAAACAGACAATTTCTGGTACAGGTTAAGATTAACAGGCCTAGCTTTCTTGGAGGGTGGTGGCGAAGGAAAGAAAAAAAAAGGAAAGGAACAAGGCTTTGTGCAAAACTTTCCAACAACAGTGCAACTTCATATGCTATGCATAAAGCAAATCAGCTGTACAAGATCATTTGACAGTCCTCATGCAGTCTTTACACACAGCATCAACTCCACTTTATATTTTTAGGGACAATATACAATTCCATTAACTAATGTTGGAATTTTCCTAGTCTTTCATTGCTGTAATGTGAAATGGTCTGATTCTTTCTCCTGGATTCTATCCAGCATCAGAGACCATTCAAACTTTCATTCATTCGTTTGAAAACAAGGCTCTTATCAACTGTTGCCTTTTAAATGGGAGCTATATAATTAAAGGCCGAATTTTGGCATGACTACTGTCATCACTAAAAAAATAAAAACACAAAAAAACCCAGACAATTGACAGATATTTGCTTGATTAAAAAAGAGGAGAGTAAACTTGCCTGAGTTCCTAGCTGGACTTTCAGAAGTGATCAAATTATGTTATCCAAATTAAAGTGTTTAATTACATTAATCTGTGTTTACCTTCTGCTGCACCATTGAATCCCAAGTTAATATATCTGTATCACAGTAGAGATGGGCTTGGCTTCCAAAATCCCCTACCAGCTGGATGAACCACAAACTTCTGTTTTGTTTTGTTTTCCCAGATTATCTCTTGTTCATCAATTTTAACTCCAGAAAGCACTACTTTTGTTTATGTAGTTGACTTTGGATCAAGCATAAGCCTGGACTGATTCCTCCTTGAACAACACCATTCAATTTGAGCTTAAAATATTTGAGTTCTTGTCTGAGTTATTCTGTAGCTAACAATTAGCTCGTAACTCTTAACGATCGCTAAACTATGTTTACATTGGATTTACCCAGCTTCAACTTCCAGTCATTGTATCTTTGCTGCAGCAATTTGGCTTCACCTACTCTATTTCTAGTCCCCAGATTAACATTTGTGGTTTTGTTCAAAGAAAAACACTGGCTTTTAAAGATCCTTCATACGCAGCAGGTGCCAGGTCCACATGCAATGGTTCTGCAGTAGAGACACTGCATAACACAGGTGTTTTGAAATTAAACCATAAGGACAGGCATTAAAAATTAACTTAAAGACATTTCATTTAGAGAACAACATAAAGGGAAGTGAAATAATTGACTACCAGGCAGCA